CTCCCACATGACCACACCCTCCCACATGACCACACCCTCCCACATGACCACACCAACCACCCCTACCACATGCCCTTTGCACCAGCTGCTCCTTCTACCTAGAGCAGACTCCTCCAACCACCATGGTTTTAGCCCTGGTTGCTGACCCATCAGGGAAGGCGGCTTTGGTTGTCTTTGTGATACACCCTAACAGAAATCCCAGTGTTAATTTGTTCTCTTGCTTATGACTTTGCTCTCAGACTAGAATATGAGCAGTGGGAGTGCTGTCTCCTCCCCCCCCACAGGCTAGTGCCTGGTGATGGCTGATTCTCACTGATCTCGTTTAAAGAATGAGCAAAACTACCCTTCCGAAACTTGTCTCCAGATGATCCAGAGGGGACTTTGCTGATAAGTGTGCTCTGCAACCGGGCGACCTGTCCCTGTCTGCGCCTCCCCACCAAGGCCCACCTACCAGCCCAGCAGGGTTTCCAAGGGCTCTGCAGCTGCCTCCACGTTGCTTGCAGGCTGGGTGCTCTGCCTGCCCTGGGTCCCCGGGGCTTTCTCGGGTGCCAATTACTTGGTAACTCTTTTGTCTTCACACAAGAGTTTCTACACCGTCGATCCCGCTCCATGAGCAACTCTTCTAGAACCTTCTCTATGACATCTGTGAACCAGAATGTTATGAAAAGGGAAGGAATCCGTCTCCATTGAAATGGTGTTGTTAGCTTTCTGCCACTGCTGCCTGATGTGGGCCTCAGAAGACTCAGAGCAGGGTGCTGGCCGGGCCAGGCTCCTTCCGGAGACAGTAAAGGTGGTGTCGTGAGAATATGGTTCTCACAAGTTGAGGGTTGTCGGCTGGAGGCCACCCTAACTGCGGAGGGCTGCCTGTACTTCTCACTCTGGTCATCAGAGCCATCAAGGGTGAGTCCATATGCTCTCCCACCACCACCTTATGCTGTCTTCTTTCCTCAGGTCACCTCTTCCACCATGCTGAAGACTTCCACCACTAGACTGGTCCACCCAGACTTTAGGGAAACCTCCTCCTCTCAAGGCCCTCGGCCTTCATCATATCTGAAATCCCTTTGCTAGTAACACATTTTGATGTCCCAAAGCTTAGGACACATTTGCCAGGACAGTCCTCTGCCAACCATGACATTCCCACAGGTAGAACATGACAGAAGAGCCTTCAGTCAGTGTGTCTGCTCACAAGGCCGGGATCAAGGAGGCTCTCTCGTGGGACCTTGGCAACTTAATATGAGACATGAAAAAGTGCTGGGGTTATTGTTAGGTTTCAAAAGACAAACGACCTTAAGATGAGAGAGGGAAAGCTGGTCTCTTGGAAACATTGAAGTGTTCTGGCTAGCTCAGTTAAATCTGGTAATTGCACAATTGATTTAAAATGAGAAAGTGGAGACAGACCAGCCACAAACATTTCTGCTTAGACCCACAAGTGCATCAGCAACTCTCAGCATTGGTCTTTCTTTAGGTATTATCAATCACAGTGCTATATGAGTGTGCATGTGTGTGTGCATGTGTGCGTGTGTGTGTGCGTGTGTGCATGTGTGCGTGTGTGCGTGTGTGTGTGTGTGTGTGTGTGTGTGTGTGTACACTATATACTACATTGTGTCTCACTTGGAGTTTCTATTGCTGTGAAGTGAAGCAATGATGTAAAAACAAGCAAAACAACCTCTCCTGACCCTCCCTTCTGAGCCTTCAAGATGTTTAAAACTCACTCTACATTTACTCCTTCGGCAAAATACTTTTTGATAAGTTGCATTTTTCAAGTTTCTCAAAGTAGTTAACTTACTTTTTTTGTTACCGTAAGCTAGGGTGACCGACCTGTGTCCAGTGTGGATAGTCCCCCCTGCCCCAGCCTTACACTCACCTCGGCTGGCATGTCAGCACTGAGGGTTGCCTGGCTGCCGTTAACCCCATAGCCAAGGTGAAGGAGCATCCACTGCTACTCATGCCAGAGAGCACCATGCAACTTGATGAACTTCTAAATAGCTTTTGAGGATCATCTTGAGTCAGCACACCCTAAAGCCTCTAGGCAGGAGACCATGTCTTTCCAGGGGAGAGCAGAGGTGTCCTAGCTGTCCTGGCTTCTAGAACCTCTGCCTTCCCTATACCCATTGCTGTTTGTGCAGACTTCTTATTCATCTGTGGAAACGCCTATTGGGTGAGGACAGAGAGGTCACTGGGACACCCTGGGAAGCATGTCCCACGCTACCATTATTGCTGTTGGCTGAGGGCAAGGACTGACAGTCCCAGCACAGGAGCTGCATCCAGCCGCGGTTATTGTAACAGTTCTTTTGGAATGAAGCCATGTCCAATCATTTACATATTGTCTAATGGCTGCTTTGGGCTGCATTGGCAGAACTGAGGTTGAGTTAAAAAGGCCTTTGAAATTTGAAGTGTTTATTACTCAAAGTAATAATATGCTACCCCCTGGAGCATGGATTTGACTGGACCAACTTGGTTTTGCATTTGCCCCTAACTGGCTGTGTGGCCTCGGGGCAGCTAGTCTTCCTCTGTGTGCTCCCGTTTCTCCACAGAGACAGTGTGCACGCAGCGCACAGCCCGCACCAGGAATGGATGTGCAAAGCAAGCCTCAGAAGATGGGCAAAAACGGCACCAGCAAGACAGCGACAACAGTCGACCTGACACCCGTCTCCGTCCGCTGCCCACCAGTACCGCGGTGTCCCAGTGCCAGCGGAGGGAACTGAGGGAGACTGAGGGCTCCACGTCCTCTGAAGAAGCAAGCAGCACACACCCTGGTCCTCGCCCGAGGTTCCTGATGAGCAGGTGTCTGGCGCCAGGACATTGCTCCAGCGCGGGCCTTTTGGTGCAGTCCAAGGAAGACGAGGGAGGAGGCTACATGTGACGACTCCAGCTTCAGGAGAAGCAGTGCAGGCCTTGACAACCTGCAACAAAGGGAGCAGTGAGGCCATCCCTGGGCCTTGGGAGCAAAGCCGTCCTTCAAGGTGAGTGCCCCGTTGTGGTGTGGTTGGTTGACGCTAAAGTCAGTAAGCCTTCAGCTAAAATTGCCTCTGGTGAACAAATCCCACAGGAGGGAAATGGCAAAGGGTTGAGGAAATGGGGCGGGCGCATGGTTCAGCTGGCAATTTGCCAAGCACGCACGGGATAGGAGGGCTAGCCGTCGAGAGCATCTTTGACTACAGAGAGAAACAGACGTGACCAAATCTATATGTGATGACATGATATCCAACCCGAGGTTCAGCAAATTAAATCTAGAAAATATCACCTGCTGGCTCCATGAGACAATAAATCCCATTTGTGTGGAGGCCATTCTGATTCAGGTTGGGTCACTTAGAATCAGAAAATGAGTTGGTGCAGTTTCCTTCCCTCCAGGTTTGCCAAGAGCAACAAAGGAAAAACTATCCTCACCAAGGTATGAAGTGTGGTGTCCAGGTGGTGGGACAGAGCCGAACACTGTGCATACAGCATCTCCTGGGTCTTTCTTAGACCCCCCCCCTCCAGAAATATTTAACCTAAGTGATCATGAAGACACACACACTGAATGCAAATGTCCTGAAAAACAGAAGATTCAGAATCAGGAAGAGTGGAGGGGGCTGGAAACCACATGTCACTGGGTAAGACTAAAGCTTCATAACAGCTAAGGGCAATTTGTAATCTCTGGCTGGGTTCTGGGATCTAAAAAAAGAAAAATAGCCATAGGGGCTGAGGAGATGGAAAAGTGCCTGCCACGCAAGCTTGAGGACCTGAGTTCAATCCCCAGCACCACTGTGAAAACCAGGCACCCATCTGTAACTCCAGCACCAAGCACAGGGCAGCGCCATCTCACACAGATGGATCCTTAGAGCTTATTGGCTGGCCAGCCTAGCCAATCAGTGAGCTCTAGACTCAGTGAGAGACCCCAGCTTAAAAAAAAAAAAAAAAGCCAAGATGGAGAGAAATTGAGGAAGGCAACCAATGCTAACCACCACCTCCACATGTGTGCACATACAAGCACACACACACATTCATAAACAAAAGAAAATAGAAGAGCTATAAAGGACATGTGTGGGACTTCAACTAAGAGCCTGGGTGGCATTGGTTGGGAAGGTTCTGTCCTTGCTCTTGATAGCCCAGTCCAAGTATTTTGGAGCAAAATGCTACAACATCTGTAGTCGACTTTCAGAGGGTCTAATGGTGGTGGTGGTGGGGGGGACCCAAAGCAGGAGTGTTAAGCCTCAAGGCCTTTGGAGAAGTCAAGGACCTGGAAACTAGACCCGGTTGCTGTCTGAGCTAGGGACGCGGACCTAGCTCCAACCCCCCGAGTCACAGTTGCCCTTACTGAGTAGAGGTCCTTGAGTGTGCCCCAGCACCGGGCACTCACCAGCCCTCTTCAGAACCTTCACTGACAGATGGCCTGTATTGCTGAACTGACATCCTCAGGAACCACAATCAATAATTGTATTTGTATCTTCACTGATATCAACATCCACATCTGTACAGTATCCACACAAGCCTAGAAAATGTCCAGGTAGCCAATCCCACTCTGAGATAGAAGAGCACACTGAAAACATTCTTCTTTACCTGTTTGCAAAGTCATTTCCTTCTGTGACACCTTCAGTCAAAGCCATCCCGTGCGGCACCCTTCACTGGCAGCTCACATTACTTCTTTTCCCAGTGGCCCACGGAGCCATGCTGCAGCTGAAGGATGATGGGCAGTGAGTGCACTCAGTCCAGCACATTCACACATGTGCAAGACTGTGACAGGCCCCAAGCCAGAATTCAGAGTTCCGAATCCCAAAGAAAGAGGGTTGGGCGTGCAGCTAAAACATCTTAGATGAGTCCCAATGCTGTGTGGGACAGAGATCATGCCAAAGAAGTTGGGCCCTGCCCTTAGCTGGTGTCCAGACCGGCTTTGACAGGAGGATGGAGGAGAAGAGGATTCTGACGGGCATCCTCGTGAGAGAGAAAAAGGAGGGGTCCCTTTTTAAGCCAATTTGCTTCTTCCTTAAGCCCAGCTACGTGAAGTATGGTGTTTTTATTGCTGATGACAGGGTGGCAGCGGACCAGGACAGCAGCAGCACCATCCAGAGCCCGACATCAATGCCCCCACATCAGTGCCCCCACAGGACAATGTCAGCAGCCACCACCTCCAGACTAAGCCACAACACGAACCCCATTTAGTCCCGTATTGTCTTTTGATGCTGCAAGCTCCCAACTGCTCTGAGGAATCTGTGTGGCTACCACGCATTCCTTTTCAAATCTAAATGTTCCTAG